AACAACCATTTATGGGGTCTTTAGGGTTTTCTATATGTAAGATCATTTCATTTGCAGAGACTATTTTAAAAAGAAAACTACCATATGATGCAGGAATTCTGCTGCTGGGTTTTTTTTTAAGGATATAGAAATGCTAATTCAAAAAGATATCTGCACTCCCATATTCATTGCAACATTATTCACAATAATCAAGATATGAGAAAAACCTAAGTGTCCACTGATAGATGAACAAATAAAGAAAATGTGATATATGTTAGATGTATGATGAAATATTAAGCCATAAAAAAGAAGGAAATCCTGCCATGTGTGACAACATGGATGGATCTTGATGGCATTATGCTATGTGAAATAAATTAAATACTGTATGGCCTCATTTGTATGTGGAATTCAAATGAGAAAAAAAAAAGGCAATGAACTCACAGATTCAGAGAAGAGATTGGTGGTCATTGGAGTGAGGGTGTTGAAGGTGGGTTAAAAGGGTGAAATGATCAAAAGGTATAAAGTTTCAGCTATAAAATAAATAAGTCTTAGGGATATAGTGTACAGCATGGTGAACATAGTAAAAATACTGTATTGTATTATGGGAAATTGCTAAGAGAGTGATCTTAAATTTCTCATTACAAGGAATAAATTTGTAACCATGCTTTGTGATGGATGTTAATTAGACTTGGTGGTGATCACTTCACAATATATACAAATATTTAATCATTATTTTGTACACCTGAAACTAATATTATATGTTAATTGCATTTCAGTAAAAAATCATTTCTTTTTCAGTAATGTATGAGAACGAAAATTCTGTAAGCATATCAATTCAATCCAATTAATATTGCTTAAAAGCTTCCCACAATGACAGCAGAATAAACATTCTTTCTAAGTGTACACTTACCAAAGTAAACCATATTCTGGGCAACAAAACAAGTCTTAAAAAACATAAAATTATCCAAACCATGCAAAATACACACTGACCTTAATAGAATTAAACCAGATTTCAATATTCAGTGCTTGGAAAATTCCCATATATTAGGAAATTAAACAACATGCTTCTAGATAAAAATGGCTAAGCATTTGAATTGAATAAAAATGAAATTTATAGTATCCAAATGCTTACATAATCAAAGAGCAAATTAAATCTAAAACAAGAAAAGGAAGAGATTAATGTAAATAATAAAAGAAATTAAACAGAAAAGCAACAGAAAACAAAATTGAAATCAAAACCTGGTTCTTTGAAAAGATGAATAAAATTTACAAATGTCTTACCATTCTGATCTGAGATAGAGAGTGAGACAAAAAACACACAGTTTACCAATGCCAGCCATGAAAGAGAGCACATTAGATCCTACAGATAGAAGGTGAACAACCAGACAATATTAGGCATAGCTTTACATACATAAATCCAACAAGGTCAATGAAAATGGGTGAGTTCTTTGAAAGAAAAAAACTACCAAAACCTCACTTAAGCAGAAATAGATAAGAAGAGAAGATAGACTATAGGGACAGAAAGATAAGATGTTGTCAGGGGCTGGGAACAGGAGATGTCAATATATTTGAAAATCAAACAACAAATTCTAGATAAAAATGAATAAGTATGCAACTTGAGTAAAATTAAAATTTGATATAACAAAATGTGTGGAATAAAGCTTACAGTAGCATTTTGAAATAAATTTATAGTATCCAAATGCTTATATAGTCAAAGAAGAGCATATTAAATCTTTAATATTTAAAGCATATTTAATATTTATTAAAATAAATAAAGGAGGATATTAATGTAAATAACAAAAGAAATTAAACATAAAATCAATAGAAAATAGAAATGAAACCAAAAGCTGGTTCTTTGAAAAGATGAATAAAATTTATATGTCTTACCATTCTGATCTGAGAGAGAGAGTGCACACAGTTTACCAATGCCAGCCATGAAAGAAAGCACATTAGATCCTACAGATAGAAGGTGAACAATCAGACATTATTAGGCATAGCTTTACGTACATAAATCCAATAAGATCAATGAAAATGGGTGAATCCTTTGAAAAAAACAAACTACCAAAACCTCACTTAAGCAGAAATAGATAAAGAAGAAGACAAAACAAACTATAGGGACAGAAAGATAAGATGTTGTCAGGGGCTGGGAACAGGAGATGTCAGACACAGAAGAATATGACAGGAATTTTGTAGGTGATAGAACTGGTGTAGGTATTGATTGTGGTGGTGGTTATACAGCTATATGCACGTTTGAAAAGTCATAGAAATGAGCTAAATTTTAATGAAAATTATTGTGTAAGACACATCTCAATATGTCTGACTTAAAAGACAACACGAACGTCAGTTCTGTTGCTTTCTTCAGCTTTTAGAGCTCCCTTTGACTCCTAACAGCTTGTGGCTTCTTCTCCTCAGGCTTTAACGTCAGGAGAGAATTCACTTACGAGAACCTGCTGCATTCCTCCACCCAGAACACGGCCTTCCAGAGTGACCACGGCTTCTGCCCCCACAACTCTCCTGTACCTTTGAGACCTGGCACCACCATGGGGTCAGGTGAAAATCTGGAGGGGTTCCCATCATGCAGAGAAGTCTTCATCATCATCTCCTACAGTCTGAATTATAAAACAGTGGGCCCTGATACTGAGTGATGGAAAAAACCCTGTCTGGCTCTGCTCCTGACGAGTTCATATAACCCCAGCTTTTACCTGGGTTCATTCAAAGTCAGCTCCCATCTGATAACCCTACAGCCAAACCTTGGCCCTAAGGAGTGGTCCAAAAGTAGAAGAAAAACAACCCGCATGAGGAGTTAGATCCTATAAACCAGACCTCTCATCTGGAGAGGCTTTTCTCCCCAGCACACAGTTGCCAATGTCTAGAGATACCTTCAGTTGTGACAACCAGAAAGATGCTACCACCATCTATTAATAGTAGCCAAGAGGCTACCAGCCAAGGATGCTACTAGACATCTTACAATGACAGAAATGACCTTCAAGACAAAGAATTATCTGACTCAAAATATCAACAGTGCTGAGGTTGAAAAACTCTGCTACAGGCTTTGACACAATGATAAGAACTAGAAACCAGAAGGAGGTAAATATCCTGCCTCAAGAGCATGTTGTAGCCTCCCTACAAAAGCCCTAAATAGGTATGAGGCACCCACCCACTCCCATGACTATCCTTCAGAATGGTGAGCCTTTATTTCATGGACAGGCAGCACAGGAAAGTGATTCTTAGATACTCCAGCATAGCTGATAGCATTTTTCATTCTTATGTATTGCTTCTCTCTTGTTTTTGCTTCTTTTTCAGGGTCTAACCACCTTCTGGCCCAATCATCATCAGCTCCCATTGCCAGAATGAATCTGATTTAGTTCATCCCCAGTTCAATATCCCTCCTTGTATTTCACTCTGGAACATTGTTTCCCTAGGTGACTTAAAATTTAAGAAATGCAGAATGAATTTACAACATAATCACTTGAAATATCTGCATGTTGGAAAAACATCTGACTGCTCAAACTTTCTAACATTGCATCCACTGTGGCGTCACTTCCCCAGAGTCTCTTTGTTCCAGATGCCCCCTCTTTGACACCATGCTTCACAGGAACTCGGGGACCAGGAAGGTGCAGATCGCATTTCCCAGACTCCTTTGCCAATTGACTTCAAGGACGGACTCTCCAGGGAGAGTTAGAGCTTGGAGAAGGGGGATGGACTTCCTCCCTCACTTTTGTTCCTGTCACTGTTGCTATAGCAACAATGGCTTGCATCCAGGAGCAACAGTGGCCTCCTGGGTCCACATTCTCGTGGCGCTACAGAACCCATCTCACAATGTCCTCAAACAGGTGTCTGCAACAGCTAGCCGATGCCCCTTTTCATAGACCTGAGGACTGACTCTGAAAGGCCTCCCCTCACGTCTGCAGAGGCACCAGCATGGCTGGGCAGCATGCCCCCTCCTCTGAGGCCTGAGGACCACAGGAGTCCGCCCCTGGCTCCTGGCTTCTTCCATTTTGTTGTCTCACTGAGGGGTGATATCTACTGCCTGCAGTTGCTTCTGGGTTCCCTCGGCATTCTCTTTGAACAAATCCTGATGTAAGTCCCCTCTGTAAACCAAAGCACTACTCTGTTCTAATTGGCTGGATTCTGACTGATAGAACTGCTACCACTATTATTTCTCCTGCTGCTGTTACTGATACTATTGCTGTATCATCCTAGAAATCTAGGTAACAGGTCTCGTTGCCTGTCTCTTCAGTCATGCCCAACTCTTTGCAACGCTATGTAGCCCGCCAGGCTCCCCTGTCCTTGGAGTTCTCTGGGTCTAGTTACTTTACAATAACTGGCCCAAAGGTAATGCAGGCAACATTTTCTCACTGACCATTGGTACATCAAGTAGATGAAAAATACATTAAGACTGTAGAGCGGGCTTCCCTGCTGGCTCAGTGGTAAAGAATCTGCCTGCCAAGGCAGGAGACATGGGGTCAATCCCTGATCCAGGAAGATCCCACATGCTGCACAGCAACTAAGCCAATGCGCCACAATTATGAAGCCTGTGCTCTAAAGCCTGGGAGCCAAAACTGCCGAGTCCATTTGCCACGACTGCTGACCTGAGCACACTAGAGCCCGTGCACCTCCACAATTAGAGACGCCACTGCAATGAGAAGCCTGCGCATTGCCAACTAGGGAGTAGCCCCTGTTTGCCACAACTAGGGAAAAGCCCACACAGCAACGAAGACTCAGCACAGTCAAAAATTAAAAATAAAAATTAAGAAAGACTGTGGAGCAACTAAAACAGCAATTTTAAAGGCAAAATGGGCAAACACTTTCAATTCTAGACATTATAAATGTGAAACAGAACTCAATGCCTATTTTCCATGTAATGTAAAGAGGAACTGACTATATCTTCATCGGCTGACTACTAAAGTCATCAATCCCCTGCTGGGAGGGTCTCCCCATAAGGGAACACAGCAGACAGCTCGGATATCCTGAATCTGGGAAACCCACGGCATCAGCTTCTGCTTTCTCATCCATTGAGTTTCCACCACACCATGTACTTTTTTCCCTGGAGATTTCCTGTGAAAGACTGTGTTAACTCTCTTTTGGATAGGCTCTACTAACCATGGAAAAACCGCAGGCCCAGGGGACACCATAAAAGGCCACGGACCTGCCCGCCCAGCGATCACCAGCTCGAGCCATGCTGACGCTCCTTCCCTCCAGCTGCTGTTCACCCGTGAGGCTCCACCTGCTGCTCTCTGCGCTCTTCTTCTTGATCCTCTTATCCCCGGGTAAGGTGGCGACTCGTTACCTGGGTCCACAGTTCAGAAGGCTGTTGAGAGGGTCAGACAAGACCCTGGAATCGGCCTTGCAGATTCATAAACCTCATAGGATGACAATAGGGGAGGACGGTAGAGAGATCATTCCTTCGCTGTTAACCGAATGCTCGATGGCATCACATTCGGCTTTATCCTTACTTTGTAGCTTGGGATGTCTAGGTGAGGCACAGTGACCCATTGGTAGGCAGGTAGATCAGAAAGGATTGAATTCCATCAGCATCTATCGTTATATCTATTCAGTAGGTCAGAAAAAGATGGACAGAGACCTATCGACAGGATTTAGTGCAGAGGGTGCGTCCTGGGAACTCTGTCCCGTAGGTTTGCCTCCTGAAGGAACTGACAAGTCAGCATAATAATGAGCACAACTCTCATTATGGGGGCGGTGTAGCCATGATTATAGAAGTAGGACGAACATTTAAAAAATCGGAACTAGACATCTTTGGAAAGTGAAAGAAGCACTTATCACTGTATCAGGACTAAGGCATAACCCAGACCTGTCTCATTTAAACTGGCCACTGGGCCACGCTATGTAAATGGCACAGACCCAGGAGAGGGTTTCAGAAAGAGAATTAGAGTCCCCAGTAAGGGGTTACTGAGAAGATCAAGCGCTGGTCCACATTTTAGGAAGGGCTTCATATGTTAAACAGTATCGCACAGAATAGGTACCTCAACATAAGTCTGGAGGCAATTAGGAGGATAATAGAGTTTGGAATACTAATGTATGTGCGATGTGGGAAGAAAATGATTGGGCTGGGAAATGGAGAGACCCTGTGACCTTAGATACTTAGGGCAAAGAATAAATATAAGACCTTTGAGAGGAGCCCGAAAGCCTGTAAGACAAACCACCCACACTGCTATCTCTGTGTCCTCACTGCCCCTCCCTTGTGGCAGATCAAGGGAATTTGGATTTTAGCTAATTAGCTTTCTTTGAGAACCCAGATCTCTGAGGGACTCTTAAAAATGTGATCTATAAATTCCCGGATGGCTCAGATCGTAAAGAATCTGCAATGTAGGAGACTTAGGTTTGATCCCTGGGTTGGGAAGATCTCCTGGAGGAGGGGATGACAACCCACTCCAGTGTTCTTGCCTGGAGAATCCCATGAACAGAGGTGTCTGGCCAGCTACAGGCCATGGGGTCGCAAGGAGTCAGACATGACTGAGTGACTAAGCACGCACACATAAATTACTCAGCTTGCTTTCTTTGTCAAGGCAAGAATATATTTATTTGCTCATATGGGTGATTCCCATACCTTTAGTCTGTGAAGGTCTAAATATGTTATTTTTCCATTAACTAGGACTCACAGTGTCTTACCTTCTTGATTGTTCATAATAAATTCATTGCTTGTGCTCGGTTTGCCATGTTCTTATGGTCTCAGTTGAGAATGTGTTTCTGCAGCCATCCAAAGCTACCGCTGTAAACCTCTCCCCTTCTTTATCTCAGTTCCTGGCGTCCAGTCTTAACCAAACAGCAATATGCAAAACCCAGGAGTCAGTCCCCATGTTGGGACTGGTGATCACAGCATTGAACTTCCAGGAAACCCTCCACCTGCCCAGTTGACCAATACGGGGGGCCCACTGCTCAAGTTTCAGCTCGCAGACTGTTTTCCTTCAAGAAGGAAGTATTTTAGGAAATCGACCTATCATTTTCAAGAATAGAAATATTTCAAAGATATTCTTCAGGGTCCGTTTATTTCTACAATAGCAGTCACTTGAGAGCACTGAACCTATAATCTCGGCCAGAGTTTAAATCTTTCTTTCAACCTGATCATATTTGGTTTGTGCCTTTCAGTTATTTTTCAGTTTCTGATGCATTGATGGTACCCTGTGATTTCTGGCACCCCTACAGATTCTGTCAAAATGTTACTTACATCGTTCCCATGGCAGCTGGGGAGATACAGAAGGAGGGGAAAAAACAGTAGGCTCAAGTCAGCACAGAGTTTCCTTCTTACGACTTATGGCATGGTTCAAAAATTTCAGAACTATATTCATATCGTATTGACTGGACATTCTTCTCTTCTTTATGATTTTCATGGGATTGAAGCTAGTATTTTACTATGAAACATTATTTGGATTTTTGTGTGCAGACAAACTTTAACTTGGTTAAGGCAATACTCTTCCTATTTAAAAAATAATGTTTATCAGATGTCAATGTTGATTTTCTTTTCTATTCTCCCCTTCAAATACATATTTAACTTACTTGATCAAGTGGGTATATTGTCTATGTAATTGTTACAGTAAACAGGAACATCACCACCAAATTTTAATCAGAAAATATTGACTTATCATTCTTAGCTAGGAATGGCTTCAACAGGCAAGTATAAAACAATTAACATGATGATACTAAAAACTGTCTTATTTAATAGACTCCATCCACTATTAAACAGACCTTGTATTATTTCTTGAGTGGTAAAATCTTGATACTACAAAAATTCTCAACACACAGGTGAGTCCAAGTGAAGCTATTAACTGTCTGTTTCCTAACTCCAGCTCTAGGTGGATTTTCCACTAGAAGACCAGTTTATTTAGCTCTGCCACTTGAGAGCTACTTAATAAAATAACTTTTCTTCTGTATAAGTCACCAGGAGGAAATAATGGTCTGGACACAATGACCAATTTTCAGCTTTCTAATACCCTTTGCTTTTTAAAGATATAATTGAAAGTATCATTTAGCATGTCCACAAATTTAAATTTCCTCTGATACACTCCATGATGAAAATTTCTTTGTCCCTTTAGTTAGGTAGATCATGTCTAACTTGGAAAGAAAAAATAAATTCTAGTTTCTGAGCTGATTGACACATGAAGAGATTGAGAGGTTTTCTATTAGTTTAGAATAAACTGGTACTACATCTGAGTGGTGCCAGATGTAGTGTCAGATATGGTACCACTGGGCTTCCCAGGTGGTGCTAGTGGTAAAGAACCTGCCAGCCAATGCAGGAGATGTGAGAAACATAGGCTTGATCCCTGAGTCAGTAAGGTCCCCTGGAGAAGGGAATGGCAACCACTCCAGTATTCTTGCCTGAAGAATCCCATGGACAGAGGAACCTGGACCTCCCCCAGGGTCACAAAGAATTGGACACGACTGAAGGGACTTAGCACACAGCACATCTGAGTATCCACAGAGTTGTTTCTCCTGAAACTTCCCCCATCCCTTATCTAAATGGATTGGAGGAAATAGGAGGTGAAAATGCCAAACATTTTAAAAGAAGAATAAGCACAGAGAAGTTGACGGAAGAAAACTGCAATATTAACTATATGAGTCTGTAAGCTTCCTATGACCTACAACCCCAGAATGATCTTGATCCCATTTAATCAAGGTCATCTCATTTCTTATCAAACTTACTTTTTCCCAATATGTTCCATCCACACAAGTCGTTCTGTTCTTCAAATAAACTAAGCAAAGGACCTTGCTCCCTATACACCTACCATACCTTCATGTGGATAACTACTTGTCTGTTTCATTTTCATCATTCAAATCTCAGTTCAAATGCTATATCCCGAGAAAGCCTTTCTTGGTCCATCTTATCAGCTCCATCTTCCAGACTATATCTGGCTTATTATTGTATTCTAACCACTTGAAACTTTGTGAAATTACCTCGTCATTCTATTTTTGTATGGTAAACTTTTCCTCACTGAATATAAGTTGCCATGAGGATAAGAACCATTTCTGCCATTTTCACTGTTCTATTGCTAGTACAAAGAAAAATGCCTAGTGAATAGAAGACACTCGGCAAATACTGGTTGAAGATCCATATAAAGAAGTAAAATAAGGACATTGTGTATTTAGAACATACATTTTGTCCATCCCTCTGTTGTTTCACTTCAACATTTACCAAAGTTATTTTTGAAGCTTAAAGATATAAGGAAAGGAGGGGAGTTTGTCAGTATTTTGGCTCTTGGGTAAAAAGGAGATAGTGAGTGTGATGGAGCAATTGGATGGACACTTTGTCCAGTTTCTTTCCTCCATGTAGAAATGCTCATGCTAGATCTCGTCTAATCCCACACGTAGATTTACAGGTTTATATTCCCTTCGTGGACTCATGATTTTAATGGCTCTTCTTCTGCAGTAAGAAGTGGTATGAGTTCTGCGCGAAACAACTGTCTCAATCTGCAAGGCAATTGCAAAAGAGACACCTGCAGACTGACAGAAGACATAATTGGCTACTGCCAAAGAAGGTGGAAATGCTGCCGCTCGTGGTGGGTTCTTCTGCCGGTTCCAACGCCCGCTGTCTATTCAGATTATGTAGAACCTATTAAGCCTAAGATAAAATGAAACTTGGAAAAGCATCAAAAATGAAACATGTTTGTGTCGAAAAATTTTAGAATCTGCACATTAAACACTGCTGGCTTTATTATCAACTTCTGTCATCCCTTGTCAATAAAAAGAAATAACTATATACTGATTTCAAATCAACCCAAATACTACTTCTTTGAAACTCACTTCAATCCAGAAAAATCCTCTTTGAAAGTAAGAAAGATTGATATTGACATACATACACAACACTGTGTAAAAGTAGCCAGTGGAAAGTTATTATAAAGCACAGGAAGCTCAGCTGGGTGCTCTGCGATAACCCTAGATGGGTCGGATGGGGGTGGGGGCGGAGGCCCAAGAAGGGGATGTGTGTATACATAGAGCTGAGTCACTTCATTGTATCACAGAAACTAACACAACATTGTAAAGCAATTATACTCCAAACAAAGCATAATAAGAAAAGTAAAGTCTATTTATGTAACAAATTTTCCAAAAAAATTATCTTAGAAAGATAAAAAACTTAACCAACAGTTTGCAAAAATGAAGACATCATTATATATGCAACATAACTAAATAGACACACAGAGAATTCAAAGGAAATTCAAAAGGTGAATATAGAGGAAATCTAGAAACTATCTGGGAGTGGAGGAGATATAAATAGGAAAATGGGAGAAAACTGGAACGAGGCAAGAGAAAATAATTTGGGGTGATAACGTAAGGATTGTAACTGCACGGCAGATAACTCAAAAGAGATGAAACAAAAAAAAGAGGGAACAAAAAGTTGAAGACCAACAGAAATAAGTATACTAACAAATAAAATTTCAATTAACAACTCCCCCCAAAAGATATTTATGTCCTACTGCAATGAGGAAATATTGTGATCATACAGAGATTCTCAATTATTTTACTCCTCTACACAAATAATTTGATTTTCTAGAACCTAAACATTTTACTGTAGAAAACATAGTAACCTCTCTCAGGGTATGCTGTCAATACCCCTTTTAAATAGACTTTTGATGTGTCACAACTTCTGACTACAACTTCATCTTCCTCCCTAGAGTCATATGGTCTCACTTTCCTTTCTTGAATGCTCTTAGGACTTGAGTTCAACAACATACCTCAGAGTTATTCTTAGAAAGAGTCAGTTTTCAGTCATATGGAACACTTTGATGATTAAGGAAGTGTGGTTTGGTAAGTGAAGACTCCCCGTCTCTCATCCTATAATGCACTATTTATGAAATCAACTAATGTTTGACATGGGAGATAAGAATACTCAATGGGGAAACGACAATCTTTCAAACAAATGGTGTTGAAAAAACTGGATAATCACATGGAAAACACTGAAATTGTACCCCTGTCTTATACTACGAATAAAAAAATTAACCTGAAATGAATTAAAGACTTAAACATAAGACCCTATATCATAAAACTCCTAAAAGAAAACAGGGCAAAACTCCTTCACATTTGCCTTGGCAACAAGATTTTTTGGGATATGACACCAAAAGCACCAAGCAAAAATTAAGTGAGACTTGATACATCAAACTAAAAAGCTCTGCACTGAAAAAGAAACAATCTACAAAAATGGAAAGGCAATCTACAGAATGAGAGAAAATATTTACAAACTATATATCAGATATGGGTTAATATATATAAATACATAGGGGACTCATATAACTCAAAAACAGAAACCAAACAACCCAATTTTTAAAAAATGGACGGAGGAACTGAACAGAAATTTTCCCAAAAAAACATACAAATGACCAACAGGTACATGAAAAGGGTCTCAACATCACTAATTATCAGGAAATGCAAACAAAAACCATAATCAAATATTCCCACACACCTATTACAATGGCTAGCATCAAGAAGACAAGAGCTAACAAGTGTTGGCAAGGATGTGGAAAAAACAGAACATCCGTGCACTGTTGGTGAAATGTAAAATGATTCAGTCACTATGGGAAACAGCGTGGAGGTTTCTCAATAAAGGAAAAATAGGGGGAAAGGCTGGGGGATGGTCCTCTTAAGCTTTTGGCACAGAGTCTTTAGACAATACGTGGTGACTGAGGAAATACTGTGTTCTTTGATTCTCCTTTTCTCACCAACCTTGTCATATGGGACAATTATACAAAGGGTTATAACGGATGAGAAAATTTTAGTTTTCAATGTGAACTAAGTGTATTCACCTTTCAGATTCTACTAAGAACATAGTACATTTGTGATATTGGCCTCTCTTTTAAAGGAATAACTTAAGTACAGCTTCTTTTTTCCAGAAATGAACCTTAGGCAATTATTTTCTCCCTCATGTGGAAAAAGAGTCCCCTTGCAACTCAGAGGACTTTGGTAACAAGGACTTTACACTCAATGACCCTTCAAAAGATGCTGGCCAGAGATACTGACCTCTGAGAAACATGAGAGCCCACAGTAAAAGTACAGGACTAGCAATCTGGTCTCCAGTGGTTAGGTTAATTTGTCACCAAATTTAGAGAGCCCAGGGTTTGGAAACATTCCAGCAGAAGCTGTTTTATTTTCTTACTTGCTAAACTTCACTGACTAAAAGGACTCTTGGTCTGCAGAAGTAAATAAAAGGCACTATATCCTGCTGTTCCTGATTACTCACTGCTCTACCAGGCATTCAACCATGAGACTCTGTTTATAGCTTTCTGTTCTCCTTCTCTCTTTGGCTCTCAAAAGGTAGGTGGTGAACAACTGTAGAGCTGGGTTTCTTAGGAGACCTACTCGGACGCTGAGTTATCCCATGGCCATCTTGACTGAGACCCTAACGCACAGTCTCAGGGATACAGAGGTCCAACATGAGTGTCCTCCTTAGAACTGATGGGGTCCAAATTGGGAAGAAAGACAAGGATTTCCACCAACAGAAAACAAGTTCCAAGAGCTCCATGATTACAAAAGGCAGCTCAAATATAGGGGGAGGGGGAGAAGCCTTGACATCTGACACAAGGATACAAATCAAGAAGCTTTCACAAGGGCCCCCATCTCCAAAAGAGACAGTGGAAATGGCAGCTATTGGGTCAGACTTGGTTAGTGAATCCAAGTGACCTGGAATCTATTGGCAAAGGAATATTTGTGAAGGATGCAAGTTAGGTGTGTAAGACAACTCAACAACAACCACACAAAAAAAGAATTCTATCAAACTATTAAAAACAAACAGGAAGCAAGAGAATTTGGAAAAAGCATGGAAATTTGGGATGAGCTTCAGTGGCAAAATTTTAAGTATAATGCAAAATAGGAAGGAAGCATTTTACCAGTCTGAGATACATCCTTGGTGCTCATGATTGAGAAGCTGGAATATTAAAGTGTAGATAAAGGAGAAAGGGAACGTGGACATTTTCAGGCCAGTGTGTTCAGATCCTTGTAAAACTGATAAGACTATTCTCTCCACTGTTCATGACAGGATGTTCCAATCCTTCAAAATGACATCAGTGTTCATTTGGGTAACTCTCCCTCTTCCTTGAATCATCTATTCAGCTCAGTTCAGTTCAGCTACTCCGTCATGTCTGACTCTTTGTGACCCCATGGACTGCAGCACACCAGGCCTCCCTGTCCATCACCAACTCCTGGAGTTTGATCAAACTCACGTTCATCGAGCTGGTGATGCCATCCAACCATCTCATCCTCTGTCGTCCCCTTCTCCTCCTGCCCTCAATCTTTCCCAGCATCAGGGTCTTTCCCAATGAGTCAGTTGTTTGCATCAGGTGGCCAAAGTATTGGAGTTTCAGCTTCAGCATCAGTCCTTCCAATGAATATTCAGGACTGATTTCCTTTGGGATGGACTGGTTGGATCTCCGTGCAGTCCAAGGGACTCTCAAGAGTCTTTTCCAGCACCACAGTTCAAAAGAATCAGTTCTTCAGTGTTCAGCCTTCTTTATGGTCCAACTCTCACATCCATACATGACTACTGGAAAAACCACAGCTTTGACTAGACAAACTTTGTTGGCAAAGTAATGTCTCTGCTTTTTAATATGCTGTCTAGGTTGGTCATAGCTTTTCTTTCAAGGAGCAAGTGTCTTAATTTCATGGCTTCAGTCATCATCTGCATTGATTTTGGAGCCCCAAAAAATAAAGTCTCTCACTGTTTCCATTGTTTCCCCCTCTATTTGCCATGAAGTGATGGGAAGAGTCTTCAAATACAATCGAAGATATACACTTGTTTGATCTTCGCCTGATCTATGAATATCTTAGGATCTCTGACATAACAGTTGTCCCCTCTTGAGAGAGTTCACATAATTCTCATCTTGGCCTCAGTTCTGTCAGAAGATGACACACTTGCAATGATAGCCACTGTAAAATTATATGATGTTAAGGACTTAAATTAGAAGGTAATTTAATGCTTAATTCTTTAATTTGACAGATAAGAGAATTTACCTCAACCAAAAGAAAAATATTTCACTAAGGTCATGTAGGTAGTGGCAATTGCAGCTGGAAACAAATATTTTTTAAAAATTTTTATTTTGAATTGGCATGTAGCTGATTCTTTCTACTACTTTCTGTTAAAGGGCCTTCTTTCTGTCAGATCTCCCTCAGAAAATCACCTACTTTGTCAGAAAGTGTCTTCTTTCTGTTGACTTTCCTCATAAATCACCTCCTTTTTGTAGGAAAGCACATTCATTCTGTCAGGTACCCCAGAAATTGCCTCATTTCTGTCAAAAAGAACATTCTTTCCCTCAGGTTGCCCTCAGAAAACCCCCTTCTTTCTGTCAGGTATCCGTCAGAAATTGCCTCCCTTCTATCTGAAAGCTCCTTCTTTCTGTCAGGTTTTCCCTCAGAAAATCACCTCTTTTCTGTCACATTTCCCTCAGAAATCACCTCCTTTCTGTCAGAAAGCATCTTCTTTCTTTCAGGCTTTCTTCAGAAAATGACCTCCTTTCTGTCAGAAAGTGTCTTCTTTCTGTCAGGCTTTCATCAGAAAATCACCTCCTTTCTGTCAGCAAGGGTCTTCTTTCTGTCAGGTTACCCTCAGAAATCGTCTCCTTTCTGTCACAAAATGCCTTCTTTCCATCAGG